TATCACCAGCATCACACATGACCTCAAAAGGTTGGTTCCAATCAGGGGACACAATTATAGGGGCAGTTGATAATTTTTCTTTAAGGGTGTCAAAGGCTTTCATACAATCACCTGAAAATTCAAACTTAACATCTTTCATTAAAAGGTTAGTCAGTGGTTTTGAAATCTTTGAAAAATCTTTTATGAACCGTCTGTAAAACCCTGCATGACCTAGAAAGCTTCTAATGCCTTTAATAGTTGTGGGAGGGGGTAATCCTGCTATAAGATTAATTTTAGCCTTATCAACTTCTATCCCTTTAGAACTGATTTTATGTCCTAAAACAATTCCCTCAGTAACCATAAATGATATTTTCCCAATTAAGAATTAAGTTTGTATCTTCACATCTCTTAAGAACTAAGGTTAAGTGGTGAAGACAATCCTCAAAACCCTTGCCGAAGAGTGTAAAATCATCCATGAAAATTTCGAGAAAATTTTCAGTCATGTCAGAAAAAATTGCTGACATGCAACGCTGAAATGTAGCAGGGGCGTTGCACAAACCAAATGGCATTCTCCTATATGCATATGTTCCATGAGGACATGTGAAAGTTGTCTTATCTTGATCTTCTGGTGCGATTGGTATTTGGTTATACCCTGAATAGCCATCAAGAAAACAATAAAACCCATATCCTGCAATTCTTTCTAACATTTGATCAATAAATGGCAAAGGAAAGTGATCTTTTCTAGTGGTATCATTAAGACGTCTATAATCTATACAGACTCTCCATCCTTTGACGGTCCTGGTAGGTATTAGTTCATTATTTTTATTTTTTATCACTGTCATACCTCCCTTTTTTTGGTACTACCTGAACAGGACTTACCCAAGGGCTGTCTGAAATAGGGTAAATAATACCTGCCGCCAAAAGCTTTACAATCTCCTTTTTTACCACTTCCTACATTGCTGGGTTTAATCTTCTTTGGGGTTGGACTATTGGTTTGTAGCTATCCTCCATGAGGATTCTGTGCGTACAAATTGCTGGATTAATCCCTTTGATATCTTCTACAGTCCATCCCAAGGCTCCTTTGTGTGCTTTTAATAATTCAATCAATCGTTCTTCCTGTTCTGTAGTTAGAGAAGATGAAATAATTACTGGAAATAACTCATGCTCAAGATAGACATATTTCAAATGAGAAGGGACAGTTTTGAGTTCAATTTTTAGTTGAACTTCTTCTAATTGCATGTCCCCTTCCTCATAATCTTTTTCCAATAATTTTGCATCATTTTTGATAGTCGGATCTTCATCCTGTGTGGTGCCAGATTTGACCAAACATCTTTCCATTGAGTCAGAAATTAATTGATCATCTTTGAATTCATCTACAAGATTATTAGTCATGTCAATTGAAAAGCATGAAGATGATGTGTCATCTTCTGAGAATCTTAGTATCTTTTGCATATCAAAAATAACTCTTTCTTCATCAACTCTTAAAATTAGTTGTCCTTGATGGATATCTATGATTGCCCTGCCAGTTGCAAGAAATGGTCTACCCAAAATAATTGGTTCATCAGAACACTCCTTCATTTCAAGTACTATGAAATCTACAGGAAAAACAAATTTATCTACTCTTACAAGCATATTTTCAATTATTCCCTTTGGTCTCTTAGTACTTTGATCAGCAAATTGAAGTGAAACACCTGTGTCTTTTATTTCACCAAGATCTAATTTTTTAAAAATAGAAAATGGCATCAAATTTATTGAAGCTCCAGAATCACAAAGTGCTTTTTCAATGTATACTCCTCCCAGAGTACATGGAATGGTAAAACTACCTGGGTCACCAAGTTTTTGTGGTAGCTTATTTTGAAGTATAGCACTGCATTTTTCAGTAAGCATTACCACAGAAACTTCTTCCAATTTCCTTTTGCTTGATAAAATTTCTTTTAGAAATTTGGCATATGAAGGCATTTGCAATAAAGCATCAGTAAGAGGAATGTTAATGTGAATTTGTTTTAAATCTCCAAAAACTTTGCAAATTGATAATCAAGCTTTTCTCTTTTCATCTTTTGTGGGAAAGGAATTGTAACAGGGAAAGAAGTCAGATTTTTAGTATTTTTTTCTTCTTTTTTCTTGGCTTCTTTCTCTTCTGATGGTTGAGAGGGTGTCTCAACATTTTCGCCCTTGTCTACATGTTGTTCTGATTGATTCTTTTCTTGTTTGTTTGCATAGGGTTCATCAAGAGTCATACCTGACCGTAAGGCAATGGCCTTAAGGTATTCTTTTGGATTTTTCTCTGTATTGCTCGGTAAAGGACCTTGAATCTTTTCAGACACAAGAGTTGCCAATTGGCTTAACTGAATTTCAAGATTTTTTAGAGCTGAATTTTGGCTTTCCATTTTTTCATCAGTAACCTTAATGTACTTGTACAAAAGGTCATCAAGACTTGGATGGCCTTGTTGAGGCCTTTGCTGATATGAAGTTGCTTGCTGATAAGGCCTGAAATTTTGTTGTCCACGATTTTGATTTTGATATCCGTGTGGACTCTGTACCTGTTGTTTTTGGTAGTTTTGAGAGTTTTCAGCACCATTTGCATTGCTCCATTGAAATCCTGGATGTTTTTGTGCTAATGGACTTCCAAAAGGATACTGCTTGTATCCGATGACATTGACCTCTTCATCATTTTGATTGGTTGCTTGACATTCGTGGTTTAGATGGTTTCCTCTACACAAGTCACAAGCCTCAGACTGGCTTGGTTGTTGTGTATTTACTTGAAAAGATTCAAATTTTTGTGCCAAAGAAACAATCTGTTGTGTTAGTATATTTAAAGCATCCACCTGATTTACTGTAGCAGCTTTCTTAATGATTACACGCTCAGATGGCCACTGTATGGCATTTTCAGAAATTTCATTAAGCAATTGCAATGCTTCTTCTGTGGTTTTTCCCATTATGGAACCTCCTGCAGCTGCATCTATTACATTTCTAGAAGATGGTTTCAAACCATGATAAAAAATGTACAACTGCATATGTTCAGGAATGTCATGGTGTGGACATTTTCTTAACATTGCTTTCAATCTTTCCCAAGCTTGATAAACTGACTCAGTGTCAATCTGCAAGAAGTTAGATATATCCTGTCTTAATTTTGTTGTTTTAGCAGGGGAAAAATATTTATTTAAAAATTTCTGAGTCATTTGGTCCCATGTGGTAATAGACCCTTGCGGCAAACTTCGTAACCAAGTTTTGGCCTCTCCTTTTAAAGAAAAAGGAAATAGCCTTAACTTAATTGCTTCAGGAGGTACTCCATTATACTTTGCAGTTTCAACTAATTCTAAAAAGTAAATTAAATGACTATGTGGATCTTCACTTAGATCACCTGTGAAAATGCAAGATTGTTGAATTGTTTGAATCAGGCTTGTCCTAATTTCAAAGTTATTGGCTGCTACTGGAGGTTTCCTGACTGTGACGACCCAAAGGGTCATCACCGGATTTCTCTCTTTTTCCACGCTTCCGAGGCCTTAAAAACCTCACTTTTACTTGCCTCGATTTGCGTGCCCAGTTCGGGCGTGTAGCCGGAAGGCTTAAATATGAATTCCGTGTGAAAAATGATGAATTTTGATATTAATATGATTAAAGTTGACTTCGGTCAACATTTTTGGTAAACGGACCCGAATCCGGACCCGTGATTTGACGGTCCAGGAGGGTCCGTAGAAAAATATGGGACTCGGGCATGTGCCCGGAGTCGAAATCCGAGGTCTAGAACCCAAGGAAAAGAATTTTTTCGGTGAAATTGTTGTTCTGGAATTTTTAAGGAAAAATGGAAATGAAAATTGATTAAAAGACTATGGCATCGGGCTCGTATTTTGGTTCCGACGCCCGGTACAAGTCTTAAATATGTGTTAAGCGCTTTCTGTAAAGTTTGGTCGAAATCAGACGTCATTTGATGTGTTTCGGACCTAAATATCTAAAGTTGGAAGTTTATGAAGTTTGAAATGAAAATGATGATTTTGAGGCTTGATTCATTGATGTTGATGTTATTTTGGCGATTTGATCGCACGAGTAAGTCTGTAGGATGTTTTTGAGGTTGTTAGCATGTTTGGTTTGGAGCCCCGAGGGCTCGGGTGAGATTTGAATAGGCCCGGGTTGCATTTTGAACTTTGGAAAAAAAATTGCAGGTAAGGTCTGGTATTTTCGCATTTGCGAAAGATTTCTCGCAAATGCGAGACTCGCAATTGCGAATCCTCCATCGCAAATGCGAAAAGGGGAAATCTTTGCTTGGGTCGCAAATGCGACAATTTGTTCGCATATGCGAGGGCCGCCCAGTCGCAATTGCGACGCCTTTCTTCGCAAATGCGAAGTCTGCTCGGAGGCTCGTTGTTCGCAAATGCGAACTATTCTTCGCAATTCCCAACATAGCAGGGTCGGGGTTCGCAATTGCGAACCCAGTTTCGCAATTCCCATACCTGAGGCTCAGTTATTTCATACTTAGACGAATTTTAAACCCATTTTCTTCATTCTTTCAAAACACTAACTCCATAGGCGATTTTTCAAGCACAAACCTTCTTCCAAATCAATTGTAAGTCAACTTTTACTTAATTTCTTCAATCTCTAACATCATTAAACATGTTTTTATCTTAAAATCAAGGATTTTCATAGGTGAAAATGGGGATTTTGGGTAGAACTAGGTTTTCTTAAAATTGGGGATTTGGACTTCAATTTGAGGTCTGATTTCAAAACAAATCATAGATATGAACTCATGGGGGAATGGGTAACCGGGTTTTGGTCCGAACCTCGGGTTTTGACCACGTGGGCCCCGGGGCATTTTGGGTATTTTTGAGTAAAACTTTGGGAAATTCATTTTCACGCATTCAAGTTGATTCAATTAGCATTTGTTGATGCATTCAAGTAATTTGTGACTAGATTCGAGCAGTTTTGTGGTGAATTCGAGGGGTAAAGCTATACTAAAGGCTTGAGTGGATTTTTGGAGCATTTGAGGTAAGTGTTTGTTCTAACTTTGGCTTGAGGGAATAGGACTAGGATGTTATTTGCTATCTGCTAAATGTGTAGTACGGTGTATAGGCATGGTGACAGTTATCTATTCACCGGAGTCTATCATGACCGTGAGTCCTAATTGTGTTGATTCAAATTTTTGTGATACACCTTCCTTGCTTAATTGATAAGTTTCATATAATGTGAATGGTGGAGGAAGAAATGTGATTGGTATATTATTGGAGCGTTGGCTCGAACTGGAAATTGATAATTGAGAAAGAAGCGATTAAAAGAGGAAGTGTTGTGTTATTCCCTTGTCGGGATGCGTAGTCTATTATTGTTGATGCTCCCTTGTCGGGATTTAAGCGTTATATGTATTCTCCCTTGCCGGGATATTTGGGCTGTTAGTTGTACCCTTGCCGGGTTAAATCGTTATGTTGTTGAATTCCCCTAATGGGGCCTCCTCTAGAAAGATTATATGTATTATGAATTATGAAATGGGATCGTGTGGCACGCCGACCACTTATAAATATGTACTATGGGATCGTGTGGCACGCCGCCNGTGTGGCACGCCGACCACTTATAAATATGTACTATGGGATCGTGTGGCACGCCGTCCACTTATGAAATGGGATCGTGTGGCGCGCCGACCACTTATAAATATGTACTATGGGATCGTGTGGCACGCCGTCCACTTATGAATTATGAAATGGGATCGTGTGGCGCGCCGACCACTTATAAATATGTACTATGGGATCGTGTGGCACGCCGACCACTTATATGAGTCACAGATTGAGGTAGTTTCGTTGTTGTATCCGTTGATTTGTTTTCACTGTATTCCCCAGAGCATGTCCCTTCCTAGTTTTATTTGATGTTTTCTGTTGTTATTTTCGTTGCCTTTGTATGAATATACTGCACAGGTTGTTTTGGTAGGTCCTGTCTAGCCTCGTCACTACTTCGCCGGGGTTAGGCCAGGCACTTACCAGCTCATGGGGTCGATTGTGCTGATGCTACACTTCTGTGCTTTTTGCACAGATCACAGCACCGGAGCAGCTTTTGGACCACAGCAGTAGTATACTGAGCGGGAGCTGACTTCAGTCCAGGGACTCACGAGGTAGCCTAGCTGGCGTTCGCAGGCCGAAGTCCCTTTCCATATTTTCTGTTTGTTTTCATTGTACCGAGACAGACATTATGTATTTTCTATTCAGACTTGTTTATAGTACTCTTTAGTGGTTCGTGAGATAGCGACTCCAGTCTTGGGTAGAGAAATATGGAACTTCCGCGTTTTGGGTTTACAGTTATTCATGTTCTAAAAGACTTCCGCATTTATTTAAAAACTCGTTATTTTATTATTGTTGTGTTGCTACCCGAAATTGTCTAAATGTTTGGCTTGCCTAGCTCCGACAGTAGGCGCCATCACGACTCCCGATGGTGGGAAATCCGGGTCGTGAAAAGTTGGTATCAGAGCTCTAGGTTACATAGGTCTCGCTACTCACGGACAAACTTGGTAGAGTCTGAGGGATCGGTACGGAGACGTCTGTATTTATCCCCAGAGGCTACGGAGTTAGGAAAATTCCACTTTGTTCTTTCTTGTCGTGCGATTCTGTTTCTCAAATACTGATTGTCTTTCTACTCTGTTCTTTCGCAGATGGCGAGAACACGTGCTTCCTCTTCTACCCGCAGCATCCCGAGCCCCCAGCAGCAGCTCCTACGAGGGCAGAGGCCGAGGCAGGGGTAGAGCTCAGCCCCGAGCAGCAGTCCCAGAGGTGGAGCCTCATGCTGATTATGATGAGGAGGTTCCAGCCCCAACAGCTCCGGTGGGCCCAGCTCAGGTCCCAGAGGGGTTCATAGCCACCCCAGTTCTTCAGGACGCTCTGGTCAGATTGGTAGGCTTTGTGGAGAGCGTCACTAGAGCGGGTTTGCTTCCAGTAGCACCAGCCACTTCTCAGGGTGGAGGAGGAGTTAGACTCCTGCTACACATACTC